CCCTTGGCTTCAATTCCTGGCTCTGCCACTGTGTGTCTTTGGGGAAACAAAAATTTCAACTGTCTGGAACTTTGCTTCTGCCTTTTAAAAACACAGGAGCGAAACCCTGCCAAATGCCTACTCCAATTATAAATACAATATTTCTATTCCCAAACTACGTAGGAGCAGGACTGTAGAGGGCAGGTCAGCTATACGACTTCTCCCTCAGTAAAGTCTTTTAAGGGTTAATAAAGACACCGTGTGCTGGTGTTCGCACACCTCTTAAAAGAGAAGTTCCCCGTGTGGGCTGTTGGGGGCGTACCTGAGCACTGCTTCATTAACACACACCGTTTGTCCTGTTGAGTGTGCACGCTCAGAGAGCTGTAATAGTCATGTGTAATGTGTTTTGGAGTGCAGTGTATTGCTCTTTTCTGAAACTTTTTTCCCTTTCTTTCTTTTTTTGTCAACTTTCTGCATTGGCAGAGCATCTTGGGATTGAATTTATGGGTATGGACCAATCATCATTCCTTTTGGCCTGCAGAATTTAGAGCCTATGAGCTGAAATCTCTTCCCCTTCCCACTCTTCCCTTTCAGTTCCTAACAAACTTCCTTTTTCTTTAGAAGGGATCATACAGCTATAACAATGATTTCTCTGCTTTCGATCGATGATTAATTTACTGAAATGTTACTGAGTGCAGCAGTTTTTAGAGTCCCGAGCTTCACTTAGACTTTAAAATCATCTCACCTGCTGCAAATTCACGTACATCCCACGTTCCTTGGCCCACTGATTGGAGCTGGCCATGCTGTCATTTGAGAGAGGGGGTAAGTTGGAGCGGTACACATGACTGCCAGAGGAACCAAACCAGGGACCCGAGCACCAAAGAAGTGTTACATATATCACCTTAAAATAACAGCAAATCTCAGGCTGATGGTAGTTTGCCATACACTATAAAAATGATATCTAACATCATCAGGACAGTTCTTACATTGCAACACAACACTACACAAACAGATGCATTACTGTGATTTTCTGGAGCTCTTCAAACATGACTCTGGTCAACTTCATTATCTCATGAGGAAAGAAAGAGATAAGCCATATGCTATTTTAGGTGGAAAGTCTAGTGCTAATGGAATTAAACTTGAGTCACCAAGATTATCCAAATAATCAAACACTCAATGTAAAATATCTCCTATCAGCATATGAAGTTGGGGCATGCTTCTTTTGAAAGTCCTCATCCTAAATAGTTGGTAGAAGAGGCCAGTCTTGGGAGGAGAGGAAGTCACTCTACCTTCCCAGAGGCTCCGCGGCACAGGCCCCAGGCCCCCTGGGTGCTGCATATGGCCCTGGACTGTGGTCATGGGTCCACAGTGTCCTGATGAATGGGACGTCTGCTCCCCATTCAGCTGGTGTCAGTGACATCGTGCAGGGAGGGCACCCTACAGCTGCCATCTTCTCTGGGCTGATATATCACAGTTGACAGCTAATGCACTTCCTGTAATTCGTGGAAAATGAGGCTGTTGCTGTCTCTAGCAGTCACAGGAATAGAAACTCAATCGCCTGCACCTCCAAGAAACCTTCCAAGAGAAAACTTCATCTGATGAAAAACATCCCACATTTGTATGTGGTCCTTTGAATGTCAGAGGACATCTCCCAGGAGTGAGAGGCAAGAGAGGGCCCACAGTGTCACAGGCTATCTGATTCGGGGGAGCCTTCTACATGGACCATGTCTCTCGGCATAAAAAGCGACCCACTTCTACAAAGGCTTATTGGCCTTTCCTGCAGGGAGGAAAAACATTTCACCATCATCTCCCCTCTTCCTAACAGCATCTTTGCTACCTTATGCCTTTAGAGTCTGACTGTAGAGTTATTATTTCCATTCCCAAACAGTGAAGTAAGGTGAAGGATATTTCAGATATACCACTTCCCCTTCAGGAAGGTCTCAAGGGTTGATAAAGACACAGCCTGTTGATATTTGCATGCCTCATCTGGAGGCCCTGCAGTCCCAAGGCTAAGGAAATTTAGACCTTAAAGGTCAATTAAAATTGAGAAAGGCAAGGCCTCTGTCGCTTGGCCTGGCCAGATCATACTGGAAAACGTGCTTGATCGGAATTCGTCCAGCCCAACCTTAAAGCCTCAGCAGCATTTCCACTCATTAAGGCACATCTGCCGACTGGACTGAGGACTTCTTTTTTTCAGCACTGCCTCTAATGTACTGACCCCATCACACTGAGAAAAAAATAAAGGGAAAAAGGGGGTTAAAAGAAGCCAGTGTTTATGTTATTTTTAACCAAGTATTTTTCTTCTAATGCATTCGATATTGTGAGTTGGGGAGGGCACCTGATCTAATAAAGCATCGGAAAATCAAATAGAAACTTAGATGAGAAACATTTAAGGCATTCAATCAATGCTGATGTGAATGCAAAATCTGAACCCCACATCTGTGTCCTATGGGCCTTTGCTTTCATCATTTCACTTAGTACTTTTGCTTTACTCCTTGGCCTTTACTGGGCCTTTTTATTCCCATAACTGATCTCACTGGGAAGTGGGTGCCTTCCTACACAACACAGGCAGGATGGGTGAGGCATTAGACACCAGGTGTTCACAGACCCAGAACAACCTATCCTTTTACCATTAATAACAACTTAAAAACTGGTCAGTAGAACCCCTGAGAGTACCCACGATGCTTTACCCTTCTTTAGTCCTTGGAAAGGTCTTATTTTTGTAGTTTGCAAAAGCAATTTCAGAGGTTTTTTTAAAAACACATGAGGTAAAGAGGTGAACGCTACTAGACCCTTATCATTTTAAAAGAAGAAAAAAATAGAGTGAAAAAAAGTCACAAAAGGCAGGGTCTTTATTTTCTCAGCAATAATACTTTTACACTCCTATTTCTTAATCAATTCTCCATAACCAAAGGCACCTTGCTCTGTGTCCTGGGTTCTGTGCAGAAGGACCGGCAGGTACATGCTAAGGGCTGATCTGGATGCCAGGTCAAGGAGGGTGCTCCACAGGCACCAGCTCACAGTTGAACACCCCATCAAATGTCATTCCCTGTTCTATTTCTATGGGGGAGGTGAGGCAGCAGACACAAGCCATTAACACATAAGCATTCACATTCCACTCCTCACTTGACTTTTGTGGCACCAAAACTAAGCGACAGCACTCCTCATGTCTCCTGGTTGCTTCACGGCAGTACACCAGCTGCTTTGCTTCCTAATTGTGGCTTCCACGTGCCGGCCAGCCTAGGTTAGGAGTTATGCTGTATGGGGCAACCCTTCCAACTTTGCATCCACCTCTTCTTCCTACCTAAGCATTTCCTCCCTCCAGTTTTCTTTTTTTTCTTTCTTTTTCCTCCCTTAGTATCAGGCATGCTGTGCCAGGGACCTCAGATGACTCCTTCACTTTTAACCTTCTTTTCCCTTGTACCTGACTTCCTCCCTCTCTGTCATTCTGTCAGTCTGCCTGTCCTCTTGGTTTGTTTTTCCTTTTCCACTTCCAACCTTTTGGTTTATTTTTGTCTAATCTCTGCGGCACTCTAGTCTTTTACCCACTGACTTCTGTTCTCCTCCTCCTCCCGTTAATAATCAGTACTGTATTAATTGGATTTGACAATGTTCCTGACCTGTTAACTGGAATTTGATTACCATGGGCTTGGCTTGTAGGAAATGTTGTGTTTAATGATAAGGTCGACTGTACCATAGAAATTAAAATGCACTTTTTCATTCTAAGAAAATTTCCTGTGAATTGCCCTCTGTCGTAGAGAAAAAGGGTGTGGTTACTGAGACTGAGAATGTAACCTGAAAATGTTCATAAGGCCCGTGTTGATGTCCAGATAAAAGACATTCATTTGCATAATATTCCCAAGTTCTCGACCAGCTTATTCATCAGAAAGCCAAGTAGAGCTTAACCTGCTTAGTATGCATGGGTTGGGTTCTCTTTCTCAGTAAACTGGAGACTGCCTTCCAATACGTGTAGTTACAATGGTTGGAAGCTCAGCTCCTAGGGAATTGGGTTCACCATTAAGTCAGCCAATCTTGTTAATAACCTGACCTACACTGTAATTAAATTATCCACACAAAAAAAATGATTTGCAAATAGAAAGGCTTCCATGGATAAGAGACTGGTTGCATTTGGGATGCTACAGTACCTTTATTCAATATTCTCAGTATCACACTTCCTTCCAAGTGTGATCTGCATGAACTAATTTGCCCTCTTAGTCAATGCAGGAGGAGAGCATGTCTATTCCAAGTCACACACCGTTTGTGCTGGTAGTTCCTTTATGCAGATAGATGAGCTCTGTAAGTACAGTTGGTGACATAATAATAATTGTCCTTCAAAGAACGAAGGTTCACCGTGGCCCAGGACTGTGCTACCCATCACACTGGGTTTTCTCTGGGACAGGGCCTTGGTGCTCCATATCGTGTGGCTTACATTCGCATTCTACTATGAAAGCGTGGGGATCCTGCCCCAACTTTGTTGCTAACTACAAGCCAAGCTCATGTTTGCAAATGTCTTTGAGTTTATTTTATTAAGTTAGAAATGGTTCTTTGTAAAGACCACTGGAATATAAAATAGCTGGGAAATCCAAAAAGCCTGGGGGGTGGGGAGAGAAAGGAGGATAGGAGGGTCCCGGGGTGCTGATCCCAGCTTCTTGAATGACCTGATTCCTGTTGTCTTTGCAAGAGATTTTTAGAAAATAAAAGCCACGGTTGTAACCAAAGTTATTTTATAATCAGTGTTTATGATTTGCTAATTTAATGCATATGTTTCTATATCTTATACATAAAGTAATATTATAGCATACTACTTTTTATTGTAAATGGCCTCATCTGGCCTTGAAGTTTATGTTCAAAATGTAGTACAGGGTATGCTGTATTTGAAGTATATCTGTAAAAGTAATGAGTTGTCACATATTTACTTTCTTGTGACCATGGGCAATGTCATGCAGCATGCAAACTGTTCAGCTGTAAGTCCCGGCAGCTGTAAGGGACCTTTGGTGACATCCACTCTCATCCCTTTCCAGAAGCGGAGGAGCTCTACCAGAAGAGGGTGCTGACCATCACCGGCATCTGCATCGCCCTGCTCGTGGTCGGCATCATGTGTGTGGTGGCCTACTGCAAAACCAAGTAAACCTTCCTCCTCCGTGCCTCCCCCTGTGCGCACAGGCAGTGCCCCAGACAAGGACCCTGTGGGAACCCACTGCCACAGCCCAGTCTTGATAAAAAGCAGGTGGAGGGGTCCCAGGGGGACCTTTCCCCTTATTTTTCCTTCTGAATAATCCATTTTGAGCACCTTTCCTAGTCACATTGTTAGAAAGCACTGTTTATTCATGTAAAAATGTTCAGCAGACTTCTGATAAGAGACCGCAGCCCCACGACCAGCGAAAGGGTCAGCAAGGCAGGCTTGTCTGGAGCCCTACAGGCATGTGTGTGTGTGTGTGTGTGTGTGTGTGTGTGTGTGTGTGTGTGCACGCACCACCTCCCCAGGAGATGAGAGTGGTAGGTGCCAAATTCTACTGACGTCCAATTTGCACTGACGCTTAGAAGGTAACACTTGGTGGTGGTTGAAATGTCAGTTTCTGATCATTGCACTGATTATTTTCCCCATTCCATCTGAGTTTCCTGCTCAGATGCTCTCAAGTATGAGATGCACCAGAGGAATCTCATGGGAGGAAAATCAAGAAAAACTTGCTTTGAAACAACAAAAGGGGCAACATTAAAACAGATTTGTGTTGATTGTGTTTGCTCCTTTAAACTGAGTCCATGAGTATGAACAAATGTAATGACTTTGTGGTGTGAATTCCCTCCACTTTCTCTCTGACATGTAGCCTCCTCTACTTCAAGTCTAAAATAATATTAGGTTCTATTTTGTTGCTTCATCACTTAAATTTTCTCACCAACACTAATATGGGGATATTATTATGATATAAATGTTACATTGAGGAACAAGATGATACACTTTTATACTATAAAATCAAGGGCATAGATGGTGTTTTCTTAATACCCCAAGATTCAGTGCCAGAATGGACTGGCACTGAAGTGATAGAGAGAAACCTTCATGGAGTCAAGTTTAAGAGTCTTTTTAGATATTTTAATATTTATTACAGAGTCATACACAAAAGCATTACTAGCGTAGGACTGTGTTACAGCTGTGCCAAAATCCACAGGCAAAATATGCACGCATCTTCACTCATGTGCAGTACTATATACATGCAGACACTCTATGTATAATGTGCAGATTCAGAACTAACTGCATTGTCTTAAAGGACACACAGTCAAGTTTATTACTGAAGTCAGCTTTCTCAATTGCATAGCACAAATCATTACCTATGACGTCTGTAGGACACAGGATAGGCACAGATGGATGGATCAGGGAAGCTGGGGTTTTAGCCAAATGGCAACTTGATTTCTCTTTCTGTCTTATCTCTCGGCAGCCCAGTTTAATTTCTGTAAGAATCCCATTTGGCTTCTTAAATCTCTTTGTGGAGAACATTCAGTTCCTTGTCTGCCCTTCATAGGCAGATTCTGAGATAAAATGGTGTATCCTCCTCCCGCTCCCTCACCACCAGCCCACTGCCTGAGTTAGGTGTTGGGAAAATAAAGAATGGACTGTGCTAAGAAATGTAAATAATAGAAAAAACTCAGTGTTCCCTTTTCCATATCCAGGAAGCAGAGGAAAAAGCTCCATGACCGGCTTCGGCAGAGTCTGCGGTCTGAGCGAAACAACATGGTGAACATAGCCAACGGGCCTCACCACCCGAATCCACCCACCGAGAACGTGCAGCTGGTGAATGTATGTTGACTCTGGCCAATGGAAAAGCGGAGCATCTCTGCTCTGTTCAGGCACCTCGAAGTTTATTTTCTAAAGCTCTTAGGCTCCTAGCCACTGCCATTAATCTCCATTGGCTTCCAGGAATCCAAGGTTTTGCCAGGAGAAAATAATGGGAACATTTTTTAAAGTGGATTTGGTTACTGTAAAACCAGCACATTTCCTCCTCTGAAGTGTTCATTAAAGGGGCTGGAATAACAACGTTGGGTTTGTTCTGCAGGGAGGTCGTAACTGGAAGAAAGAAAAGAAAAACACAAAGAAAAAATAAGAACATTAATGTTACAAGACTAAGAAGGAAATGTTTTATTTTTATAATTTGGGAATGAAGGCTACTCCAGGCTATAACTGATTAGTACTGATAACAGAGTTAACGGCTTAAGAGTGATTTTTATGAGAGGTATTGCCCTGTGCTTGATGATTTGCTGATTGATTTACAAAGGAAGAAATTAGGGGCGGAAAGGTCGAGTGACTTATGAAACTTGCTTCTCAGCGAAACTGGAAGAACATAATGCTTTCTTATTCCCCTTCACTTTCTACATGGTGGCACACCCTCCAGATGAAATATAGCCTTTGGTCATTCAGGTATTTTGTTTAAAATGTACCAAGCACTCAGCTTTTAAATATAACTAAGTCATAGAATATTAGGTTGTAGAAAGCCTTTCAATAGTCATCATCCAAAACTCCCTTTTTTGTAGATTAGGGCCAGAGCTGGGCTCAGTTTTCCTGGCTTTTGAAATATTGCTCTTTCGATTCCACTCTCATTTCTTCCTGTTTTCTTCACTTCCTTCTGATGTTTGGTTTTTTATAAATAGCAAAGCTTGAAGATGGTCTTGCACTACGTTTTCTATCCTATAGAAAAAGGTGTATCTTGTCTGGAGCAAATATATCATGGACCCAAGTTCAGAGTTGGAGGTTACTAAACCACCAATAAGTCTCGTAGCGAAGACTTTCAGAACATTGTTAGAGTGAGGTGCTAGTGTGTTAACACACGTTGCTGCTTTCCTCCCCTGACCAATGTTCACTAGAACGTTCTGCACAGCTGATAAACACACCCCATGTAGGCACACCTATAAGCTGTTGCTGAGAATGCTACAATATATAGGAAGCTGAATGATGGCCTGGATCCCAACTATGGCTCAAGCTGCAGTACTTTTAGGCTTTAATCTTTCTAAACCCTATTTGTTCCTTGTGAAAATAGGCCTGAAAATAATATCTACTTCAGAAAGTTCTTGTTAGCATTAAACAAAAGAATCTATATAATCACTTAACTCAGTGGCATTTAATGAGTGTTGAATAATTATTAAATATTATTTTCATTAGACTCACTGAGCTTACATTGCCTTGCAAGGAGCAAGAGTGAAATGGTACACAGACGGGAAATAGCTCATTATGTATGACAGTCATCTTTTCCTTAAAAGAAGCTAGCTGTTTGTATGGCCTGTAGAGATCCACATAGAATAGCCTCTCTAAGAGAACCAGTTAGAATTTCAAGCACAACCCAACTAAATGTTTTTGGAGTTTCCACAAATATATCAGGCTCTTTTAGTGCCCACAGCCCATCAGATTATAAAGTGCCGTATTTCATCTAAGAGTGTTCCTTTCCATGCCTTATCCTCTTATTTAACTCCATTTGCTATAAATATGAATAACATTTAAAAACAACTTTAGAATGTGCCTCTCACCGAGAGAAAGCAGTAATAGCTACTGTGTGATTTGCTGATGAAAGTGAAGTAGATACATTTGCACTGAACATGGGCCCTTTATGTAGCCAAGATACATGACCTTGACAGCCACCGTAAATCCTTCAGCTCTCTCATAGCCTTGTTAGTCTTACCACTGACAGTTAATAATTTCGATGGTATCATTTGGGCGACATAGGCACTATAAAATTATAAGAGAAAGGTAGATTCAAAATACAGAGATTTTAAACAAAATTTTCTTTACTTGTACCAACCATGACAAAAATGAATACTGAGCAATGACCTGTGTTGAATTCCAGTCATGTTATCTATCAATGGAGAACAAAACAGAAAAAAAATAGGTCTGTTTCTGACAATATGCAGTTTGAATTATAGGACCTACACTGAGGGCACTACCAAAGATAATTTATCAACTCTCCTTACCAAATCTAAAGGCCATAGTAGCCAGAATAGGATTAGCTGTCTGGACATTGGAGAAATAAAATTTGTTATGAAGCACATGTACTAGATTTTTTGTGCGTGGCAATGTTAGTGTTTTGACTTACATGAATCTTCAAGTTGTGTCTCTTTGTTTATCCAGCAATATGTATCTAAAAACATCATCTCCAGTGAGCAGATCGTTGAACGAGAAGTGGAGACATCTTTTTCCACCAGTCACTATACCTCGACAGCTCATCATTCCACTACTGTCACCCAGACTCCTAGTCACAGGTATGGGAACAAAACAACTGCATGGCATTCCTCCATGCACAGACCTTTGCACATGTCCTTGTGCTGTCCCTGACTGAGAAGGGACAGGGACACATATGGGGCAGTGAAGTGCAGTTAAAGGTATGGTTTGGGACCAAACAGACTTTAGACATCAATTGGCTCTGCCAGTTGAGTGAGCCCTAACTTTTTGTCAAACAAGGGGAAATAATACCTCCCTCAAGGATTGTTGTTCCCCATTTTAGAGATTGCCTCTATTCTCACCCCACCACTCACTGAATTGCTATGCTGGAGAAAGTCTTAGGTGCTGCCTAAGTCAACTTCTTAAGAGACTTAGAAGTTGACTTCTTGCAGTGACTGAATTGCCCTAGGAAATGCGCCTGAGAAATTGGTTAAATTCGCCAATGCCCTGGTGACCCACGTCTAAGTGTGTGCTACAAGGGCAACACTAGACTTCCGAGTGTAGCTCATTGGGCAAATGTTTCCTTAACCTAAGCCACTTGAGAACACATGATCATAAGAACACTTAGTACATAGTGACATTTGATAAAAGTGTTGAAGGAGTGAATGAACAAATGAAGAACCTATATCCTACAAAACCAGTCTAGATCAAGATCCTTTCTATACCACGTATCTTTGTAACAATTCTATTCTAAGACAAGCAATGTCATAGTAAACTACTGATGCACCGGTATTTGAAATATTTGTCAGGTCATTCTCTTCTATTTACATTGTTGCTTATAATTTTTAAAAAATTACCTCTTTGCCTTTCACCTTTCCCCTCTAGCTGGAGCAATGGACACACCGAAAGCATCATTTCCGAAAGCCACTCTGTAATCATGATGTCATCAGTAGAAAACAGTAGGCACAGCAGCCCAACTGGGGGCCCGAGAGGACGTCTTAATGGCATAGGAGGCCCTCGTGAATGTAACAGCTTCCTCAGGCATGCCAGAGAAACCCCTGACTCCTACCGAGACTCTCCTCATAGTGAAAGGTAAAACCGAAGGGCAAATCTACCGCAGAGGAGAGAGAACCCCAGTAAGAGAATCCCCATGAGCACCTGCGGTCTCACCTAAGGAAATCTACTCTAATGAGAATAAGGGGCAGCAGTTGCCTGTTCTAGGAGTGCTCCTAGTTGATGAAGTCATCTTTTTGTTTGACTGAACTCCTTTCATCTGAGCTTCTCCCGGCGTCCCAATGGCTAACAGGCAACAGACTCTTAAAGAGCTGGAATGATTTGATGTGGAAGGTGCAGCAACTTTGGAATTCCTAGCTCTGACCTTAGGCTCAGCCCCACCTGAGATCTGTCTCCTCTGTTGTAACTTTAGAGAGATGGCACCAGTGATGGATAAGGACCCTTCTATAATTCCAGTTTGCCAGTTATCCAAACTCTGGCTGAACTGACCTCATGTTTGCACGTGCTAACTTTTCTTACCTTCCAGCTAAAATCAAGTCAAGGGCTATGCTGCTGCTGACTGTCATGGGGAACAAGCGCTTGCGTTCCACCATAGAATATCCCTTTTATGAAATTCCAAGAAGGGATGAATAAATAAATCTTTTATATGCTGCATTGGCAGTCTTCACAGGTGGTTTTCAAAGCAGATATTGCCTCCAATATGGCCCTTTATTCCTGAATGGTTTGACTCTTCTGGGGGTGTTGGATTGGGGTTGGGGGGCTACAGCAAAGGTAAAACACAGAACACAGGAAAGTAAACTGAAAGAGATGCTTAATGGGAATACTTAATTCACAGGTTCTCCTTTCCCATTTTCACCTAAACTGGGAGAGAGTTATATCAAGCACCATTGCTAGACTATCAGCAAGCTGTCGCTTGTTTTCAAATCCAGCGGGGCTTGTCTCTTTGTTTACTGTGTCATCTCAGTCTAATCTTTGACCATTTGTCCAAAGCTTTAAAGAATGTCAAATCCATACTTATTTGGTATTTACATGGGTAGAAATTATTTTGATAGGCTTTTTCCACTCATGGACTGGGAAGTACTTAAAATGAAGGAAACCAGTTGTGGGCTTTCAGGTCATATAAAACCTGCTAATCACTTCTTCAAGGGCCTTTCTATGAAATACCCCAAATGGCATTTCAGAGTGTTATGGAATTGAATGTTGTTCTGTTCATGTATGAGAAAGTAGGTATTGATCCAAATCTGATGTAAAACATTTGACTCAGATTCATATAATTATATCTTCATGTATGAAGAAAGTTTATCTGTCCTATTTTAGTCTTTTCTGAAACCTGAAAAAGAGGTTAGTGATAAATGTTTTCTTCATCACAGGTTGACATTTCCCTACTATGGTAGACCTCCTTGAATACCCAGAATATTCCCTAGGACTAAAAAATATACCTGAACCTGGGGTTCAAGGAGAGAAAAGACAACTCACTTTTACGTGCTGGTTGAATTTGGGTTAGCAGTTCTCAGAGAGCTTAATTTAAGTATCCGCAAAGCAAAGAGTCTGAAGACTTGAGCCCCAAATATCTCAACCTCCAGACACGTCCCCGTTTTAGACACAGCTAGATCTCACATCCATGCAACTCTGAATCACGGCCGAGAGCCAGGAAAGTGAATGGGTTCCCGTTTGCTAATGTTCAGATGATGATGTCCTGTGTCATCACAGGTCGTGTCAAATTAGACTCTGAGAATGCCAGTGTGAAGAAGAGAGTCACTCGGTGCTATGCATTGGTAACGTGTTTATAAAAAGCCAAGAAATGTGACTCTGAATAAGCCACATCTTCTGTGTCAAGTCAGGTCTTCTTATTCTGAGAGGACAAAAAAAAAACCATGATATTGTAAAAAAAAAAAACAGTGCACTCCATGTCTTGACAACAAGATTCACTGAGCATCATACATAGCCTGACATAAGGTGACATGGGACATCCAACCTTGAGCAGTCACAGAGATAAGTCAAAGACTGGTACAGCCGTAAGCATTGGAGGAAAGGTAGCCAGACACTGAGCGAGGCTCTGAAGCCAACGTAAGGTCCTTTCAGGCTTATCTGCGGATATCTTGGTCACTGGGGTGGATAGTTGCAAACTGAATGTTAAGAAGTAGCATTTCGTGGAAAAATTTGAAGCACACAAATGTATTACACTGTTATACCAGGAATAAATCTAAGTCACTATGCTCTCTTTTTTTCATAAGACATAACCTTATAGCTGAGCTAAGGAGAAACAAGGCACACAGATCCAAATGCATGCAGATCCAGCTCTCAGCAACTCATCTTAGATCTTCTTCCATTCCCCATTTGGGCTTCATTCTCTAAGACCCCTTGGCCTTTAGGAAGGTATAGTATCTAAGTAATACTTCTTTCCTTTACAAATCCCTGAGCCTTGGTCCTTATAAATTGACAGGTTTCCAGGACCTAGTGCCCTCTTGATCTGACTCATGTTTTTATTTAAAATCACGATGAGATTGAACATCCTAAAAGCATTGATGAGCTAGGCAATGTAGCTGACCTGTGCATGCACTTCCTGTAAGGAGCCTATTGGCTACATACTTTTAGATTCCAAGGGGGCTGAATGTCCTAGTGTAAAAGTCAAGAAGTATACGAGTCTTTGTTCTCTGATTATAATTTCGTGAAGTCTGTCCCCTTACCCTCCCTACTCCATGCCTCTTATTCCACCACACTTATGCGGGGTATTCTGTGCTCACACAGGTATGTGTCAGCCATGACCACCCCGGCTCGTATGTCACCTGTAGATTTCCACACGCCAAGCTCCCCCAAATCGCCCCCTTCGGAAATGTCTCCACCTGTGTGCAGCACGACAGCGTCCGTGCCCTCCATGGCCATCAGCCCCTTTGTGGAAGAAGAGAGACCTCTGCTTCTGGTGACGCCGCCCAGGCTGCGGGAAAAGTGCGACCACCACCCTCAGCAGTTCAACTCCTTCCACCACAACCCCGCGCATGAGAGCAACAGCCTTCCCCCTAGCCCCTTGAGGATAGTGGAGGATGAGGAGTATGAAACGACCCAGGAGTACGAGCCAGCTCAAGAACCTGTTAAGAAACTCACCAACAGCCGGCGGGCCAAAAGAACCAAGCCCAATGGCCACATTGCCAGCAGGTTGGAAATGGACAGCAACACAAGCGCTGAGTGCAGTAACTCAGAGAGTGAAACAGAAGATGAGAGAGTAGGGGAAGCCACACCTTTCCTGGGCATGCAGAACCCCTCGGCAGCCAGTCTCGAGGCGGCGCCTGCCTTCCGCCTGGCTGAGAGCAGGACTAACCCAGCAGGCCGCTTCTCTACACAGGAAGATTTGCAGGCCAGGCTGTCTAGTGTAATCGCTAACCAAGACCCTATCGCTGTATAAAACCTGAATAAACACATAGATTCACCTGTAAAACTTTATTTTATATAATAAAGTATTCCACCTTAAATTAAACAATTTATTTTATTTTAGCAGTTCTGCAAATAGAAAACAGGAAAAAAAAACTTTTATAAATTAAATATATGTATGTAAAAATGTGTTATGTGCCATATGTAGCAATTTTTTACAGTATTTCAAAATGAGAAAGATATCAATGGTGCCTTTATGTTATGTTATGTCAAGAGCAAGTTTTGTACCATTACCGTGATTGCTTTTCCACAGTATTTCCGCAAAACCTCCCATATATTCAGTTTTTGCTGGCTTCTCGTGCATTGCATTATGATGTTGACTGGATGTATGATTTGCAAGACTTGCAACTGTTCCTCTGTTTGCTTCCAGTAGTCCCCAGTCGGTCAGTACGTCTTGTAACGGCACATCCATCCAAATACTCTCCTCTTTTGTACGAAGTTTTGTTTTGCTTTCAGTATATGAGATGAGTTGTGTCTACTCTGCCAGCCAAAGGTTTGCTTCACTGGGCTCTGAGATAATAGTAGATCCAACAGCATGCTACTATTAATTGCAGCAGGAAACTGCATTAAGTAATGTTACATATTAGGAAGAAAGTAATATTCTCATTAAAAAAAACTATATTGTTAATCAGAAGACAGCTTGCTCTCACTCAAAGGAGCTACCATTGACTTGATTTCAATTTATTTTTCTTGATAAGCAAGCCACGGTTTGGGTGGGTAGGAAAGAAATTGTGTTCTGGCTTGCTATTGGGGTAAGTCCAACCCCTTACAAGAGGACTCAATGTCACTTTACTCTGGGGGAATGACACAGCAGCTCATGTAGTTGAAGATCAAACCATGGCTGAGAAAGGGGCAATCATTCCTGACTTGTATTTTTCACCGATTTCAGAGCCAGTGATTGGCTGTGTCTTCTTGGCTCAAAACAGACATACTATGGCACAAAATCCCAGCTTAAACAGCACACTCAGCAGTTTGTCTGAAATACTTCTAGACTGAAATGTGCCTGCTGTTCATAGTGGTGACTTGTCATCGTGGGGAAACAGAGTGTCTAGAAGGAGTGACCGTGTAGAGACACAGGTGGAGAGCAGCTGTGTGACTGGGTTGCAATTTCATACAGTTTTGTTGACCACTCCTTTCTCCTCATTCTTTTCTCTTGTTTTTCAATGTTGCCTTGATTAGGTCATAACTATGCATGAACATTCTTGTCAGGAATGGCCAATGTGCATGAGATTTGTGATTAGTAAGAACCTTCCGCGAGCCGTGCTTTGCCAGGAAGCATCAGTGGTGTTGGAAGATGGCACATTTCCTTGCAGAAATGGCCCCTCTTGTGTACTGACCTCTCAATTCACAGCCTGTATCACCCATTTCCCCCCTTCCTTACTTTTTGCTTTACTGCCACAGAACAGGACTGAGGTGGGCCTAAACGTTGCATGTTCTCTTGTGATTGTAAATGCAAGGCCTATAGGTATTGACATTTGAAATAAGTGCTAATCTAGGAAAATCAGAGATTTTTTAAAAAAATCAGAGGCTCTATTTAATGACCTGCCTGAAATCTGTCAAATTAAGTTGGAGCTTTATTTAGGTTCCAAGGAGACTTCTAGGAACCACGTGACAAAATGGGAAACAGGTTAGCACGGGGATCAAAATACCAGGCATGCAGTCAATGAGAGTAACTGCTTCTTGTTTGAAGGTGAACTGAACCTATTTCTTCCCCAGGCTCCTACGTTAAAGGTAAAGGGAAGAAATATCATGCAAGTAGGTCTTAGAAGAAAGATGCTGACTGAGATGAGTCCTGTCATTGAGCTCCTACATGTCTCTGCCATGCACAGAGATGACTGTCTGCAGGTGCTTGATGTCACTCTGAGTGTTTGGTCTCCCAAGCTGCCTTTCATTGTTCACATGCCACTTTCTCCGTGTCCAGCAGTGCCCGAGTCAGCTTGTTAACCCACAGGGAAGAGCCCCTCACAGGCTGCCTAAGTTGCACTGATTTTCCAGGTCTGTAGAAATGAGTGCACTCATGGCAGGAGCAGGAAGACAAGTCAACATGAAGAAGTTCTATAGATTATTCTAATATTTGAAGGGCTTGAGTCAGCCTTAGACTGTTTCAATAAAAAACTTCCTATCATGAATTAAAACTCTAAAATTTCTGTTTCAAATTCTATAGGCTTTGCAGTATTCAAATGCCTCATTCTGGAGAATTTTGGGAATACATAAAATCTATTGAGATCAATGACCAACATTTTCATCAGTTTGAAAATAGCTGTAAATTTTCATGTTGCAAAAATATGTGAAAATTTAGGTAAAGAGGAAATTTCATTTCCAACTTGATTCTGGCCACTCACAGAAGTGGCATTAGTCAGGACAGCATCACCATCTGTAAAGTAAGAGCTTCCCTCAATGAGAAAGGCCAGCTGACTCCTCAGGGTTATCTGCTGCAGCCGCCAACTTTGTGTTCACAGGGGCATCTCTATGATGTTTAATTGCCACATGGCTCTCAACCAACCCTGTTTATAAACACAGGCAGTGCTATGGCAATTCAAAGGAGTGTGAACCTATGTTCCCAGCCTACGAAAAGCTTTCATGGGTTTTTGGGCAGTGGAAATTGCCCAAAAGTTCAACAGCAACTTTCCTCCCCTGGGTCTGAAATCATATCCCACTGAGGGGTATGCAATGGAACATAGTATATGCAAAACTCCTTTTTCTCACTCAAGATTCCTTTTCTGTCCTACCCTTCCTTTCTGCCTGGTATGACTTTTCTTCAAGAGCACCTGAACAGTCTCATGCTTTCTACAAAATAGCACTCAACCTGGGTGTGTGCGAATGTGTTTCAAACACCAACATGCTGTATCTTCTTCGTTTAAGTGTGACTGTCTTGATATAAGTGGAGTTTATCCAGGGTAACTTGCTCAGTAATTCTTTTTTTGGTCTGGGGTTGAAAGGTGCATGGTTCACACTGGTGAAAATAAGAAAGGCCTGGTTTTTTCATTCAGTGCTGGCTGCATTCCACCAGCCGCAAAGATTTCTATCTACAAAGACCCATGAAAAACACTGCAGAGAAATGCAGACAAAAGGAAATGGCCACATATCACAAGTTCTATTATATATTCTTTTGTAAATACATATTGTACATTACTTGGATGTTTTCCTAAATCATTTACTGTCTTTATGAGTTAATGTCAGATTTTTACTCTCTCAACTTACTGTGTAACATTGTAAATAACATAATGTCTTTTATTATTTATATTTAAGCATCTAACATAGAGTTGTTTTCATATAAGTTTAAGATAAATGTCAAAAATATATGGTTTTTTTTGTTTTCTCTGCTTTAAAATTATGTACCTTTTCTTTTTTTTCTTTTTTTAAATAATTTATTGTTCAGGAGAAAGAATGTATATGTAACTGAAACTATTTGAAGAATGCACATTTGAAGGCGTGGGGTACTGATAAACTAAAGAATTTATTATCCAAAATATTAAGCAATAAGTAATTGTGATTTATTTCCAGTTCTGTTCATTTTCCATGAGAGACATACTGCAATAAAGATGGTCCTCTGGAGGCCTGCAGTGCTGCTCAGCAGACTAACGTTCCAGTCTGTTAGACCAGCACCTCTGCTGTCCCTGCAATGGTTGTGTTCATTGAGGAAGGTGTCTAGTGGACCCCATGATCAGCTTGTCTGTCCATCGCATATGCCGCATGACCTGTTCTTCAGTCATCTTCTGCCTATTGACTCTGCTTGCCACTATAATCTTTGTTGAAGGGGCCACCGCCAAGCTATATGATACCCTCCCGCCACATACACACAATAACATCAGAGGACATTTTAGGATATGATTGCCTAAGTCCTGGTTGTTAACATGTTCTGTAGTAATAGCAAGAAGCTTCTTCAGGCTAATGGAAATGTCAATATGGCAATCTGAAGCAGTTATGAAAGGACAACTTGTCACCGTGACCCAAAGGGTCATGGCCACCGTGTCTGAAGGCACCCATCAGAACTGAGCTGTGCTAAGCTTTCCTACAGCTTCAGTCAATTTGTTTTCCATCAGGCTCTCAGTTTATCAGTTCACAGTTTTAAGAAGAGATAAAGGCTAAATTGGGCTCATTCCCCTCATTTTATTAATAAGTTAAACTAAATGTCCATCTTACCACTCAGGGAAGGGCCTATGCATGAGAAATTTCCCCCATCCTTAGACTTACTCATGGAAATTACGATGTTACTTTTCTTACTGAAACGAGCCTAAACAAAAGCCATATTTTAACAAGTAGCTTTTTGCATGGGTGGTACTTTCTATATATTTCAAGCATTTTACTCATTATTCCAAACAGAGTAAGGGCTTCTGAAGTACGTGAAGGAGAGGCCAGTCATCCTCTGGGGTACACAGTGGCCCCCTTTGAAGTCTGAGGGCACCGTGAGACTTCCCATCCACATCATTCCATACGTGTTTGTGATTCCTATGACCTTCTAACAGCTCCCGTAGTGTCCTCTCCAAAACAGTCTAGGACATTCAAAGAGTAACTTTTGTGCTAGTTTTTATTATTTATATTACTAAGTTTTCAAAACTATTCAGAAACCTCATATTTGTGTCAACTGTGATTCTCACACACACATACACACACACACACACAAATTCTGAACACACAGTAACCTGAAGCCGCCACGTTCTTTCACTTATTTAATTCATAAAATCAAGGATTACACAGAATATTTAAAAAGTAAAGACAAATACATTTTCCCATGTCTTCAAGTTTAAGCTGAGACTTTTTCTATCTCCCCAACTGAAGACTACAAGTAGCTTTCTTAGGAATTCAGATTAAAATTGGGTACCTACAATATTTGAGGCAGGGGCATGTGTGGTGGAGGGTGGTAGAGAGAGAGTAAAGATGCATGTATAACAAAATTAAATATCTGGATGATTATTACTATTCTCCATTTATTTCAACCATATAGACTCTTGAAGGTCAAACCCAGGACAGCTCTCCAAACTAGCAAACAATTTGTCTTTGAAACCTAGTGTCTTTCTCATCATTAGATTCTATGCTCTCTGTCTTGATGATGAATGACAAAAGAACTTAATGTCAGGGATGGGGGGTGAACTGAGGCAATTCTGAAATCTAGAGATTTAGGATGCTGGAAGGAGCGGAATTGTTGATGGTCTCACGCGCATCTCTTTGTGCTCTACCTCTGGCTTGCCCTCTCTTAAATGGATAGCATGAAATGAATTGTGAAAACTATTATTCCAAAGGTTAATTTGGAAGGAAATACAAATGCTTTCAGTTTATGAAAGACAGAATCCCCCTGCTGCTACAAGCAGCAACAATATTCCTAATCTTTCAGGCTGCTGTCGGACAAAGTTGTCAGACCCAATCCCGCATATACCTTTGGGTTCCTGCTGACATTCTGAGATTGCAGTTGTTGGACCTGTCTAGTGAGCTGTTGGTTTTGCACTTCAGCAAGCTGCACAATACCATTCATCAGGAGAGTAAGAAAGGATTTTGTTACCCAGAGGAAAACTGCCATGATCTACCTAATCTTGTTGAAAGCAGAGTAGGAGAAGGAGACCAGCAATTCCTAAAGAGGAGATAAATGGGGTAATGGCTCTACACAGCATCTTTTTCTAACTCTTCCCCTTCAAGCTGAGTTATCCAGGCAGAACCTGATGGAAGAATCAACATCTCTTCCCAGCCTGCAGCCTGCTGACGAGGTTAGAGAATTATTGGTAGATGTCGACATCTTTAATAACTTATGGATAGGTTTGCTTGTGTCCGGAGAAAAAACCTGTTAGATATAAATAACATTTTATAATGCCCTATAGCTTAAAAAATACTTTATCTCTTTTTTATTCTCTTAACCCCATGGAATGTTAATATGATATGTGCTGAGGAAAATTTAGGCTCAGGGAAGTAAAAAATATTTGCTGAAGCTACACATCACCTAGTGAGTTGCAGAGATAATACTAATATCCAGGTTTTCTGACCACAACTCATATTTCTATTGACTACACTCCTCTCATCCTGCTGACCCAAGTACAGACAAGCCTTTCATGTTTGGCCTCTCATTGCATGGACAGTACAAGTTACAACCAAAACCGAGTTTCCGTTTGAAAGACAGTCAGCCCCTCTGGCTTTGGTTTAGAGTTACTCTAAAGCCCAATTTGCTTGGCTTAGATACTCTATGCACCTTTCCCTAAATGTTGCTTTCTAAGAAAATGAAATGTAGCCATGGGAATGGAGCCACAGTTTGAAGAAACAGGTAGCATCCTTTAGTGGAAAGCAGAGACTTCACAGTCAGAGCCCTGTCCCCAGCACTTACCAACTGTATGAAGTTGGATAATTTTCCTCTCCCAGTTTATCTTCTGATCGCTAGCATGGCAATTCAGCTGGCTTTATGAGGCTGTAGTGTGGTGAGGATAAAGTTGAGGCCAGGTAAGAAAGCCAGCACATGTCCACCCTCTTGTGATTTTCAAATACCACCTTCCATATGCTTTTTCCTTTCCAGGTTTTTAACTTGGGTCACCTGAGTTTCTCACTTCCAAATGAAACACTCTACACTGCACAAACAGATCAAAACTGATCAAATAAACAAATTTTATAACTTTTCCAATCTAGTAAGCAAATATTTGCAGCAAGTAAATTCCTTTTTAATGACAACTACACGTTGTGCAGCATAATCACTAAATAACATTAAAGTTGTAGGTCAAATAACTTTGTGTATTTTGTAAGTTTGTTTCTTGTGTAACCACACTATTTTACATAAACTCTCTAGTTATTAGTGTCTTATTCTACTAATGTTTGGTAATAATTACACAAAAATTAGGGAAGCATAACTCTTTGTAGAGTTTTCATAATTACACCTTCGGACTTCATTGCAAATATCTAGTAAAAACAAACAAACAAAAAAGATCCTAAATGACAGGACACCCATGCACACCGTTTGCCTTAGTTTGCACCAGGATGTTCAGATATATTCCATTTTCTTAAAAAATAAAATAAAAGCTATAATCCAAGCATCCAGGCAAAGGTCTGCAGAGCAGCGAAACTGAAGGAGTCAGGTCTCAGATCAACTCCTGAATGTAAGAGACCACGTTCTCTGGGAATGTCCAGCCACTTCTACTCATTCTTCATTCTATGCATAAAACAGTGTTCTTGTCCTGGGTATGAAGCAATTAATGATTTATAGATTTAAGCTTTTTGGATTTCATTCTTTAAAATGTCATCCTCCAGCAAGGGTGCTGGGTGACAGGCTCTTATGATATCCATCACCATGCTTGTGGTATAGATGTTGTTAATAGTAAGTGAATCAGATATAATTGTCCCTGCAGTATCAGTCATTTAAATAAAAATGTATTGGATTTACATAAAGTCTTCTTCACTTTTTAAAAAAATAAGGAAGTTTTCTTATTTCCTAAAAATAATCTACATGTAAACTTTATATTTTTTAAATGATGAATTATTATCATGAGTGAAGCTAACGCTTGTCTTCTGTTCTGTGACTTTCATTATGTGATTCCTTCTCTAACCTTGAGCCCTTTTCTTAAAGTGAAATGCTTAGAGAGACTTCAGGGGAGGGTAGTTTGTAGACCCCTTCTGATTTTGCACAGGTGAGCCTAACCTGAACTTCTCATCTTCATCATTGGTGTGTACTTTAGTAATCAATAAGCTAACAAAACAGATCATTTCCTTTTGGATCCTAGAGTGTCACCATGGAGAATGAGCAAGGCAGGAGATAACCACGTCTGAGAGCCACTGCTCTGAGCTCCTCAATTCCCAGCAGCCAGGTTCCTTCCAATGACGAGACGATTCCATCCTCACTGAAGAACCTCCCCACAAAGATCTCATCCTTCCTTTAGATTTTTTCAAAGCAAAGACTTCCGTTAGTAACTCAATTTATAGCCCTTCCCTGATCCCCTTAATTTCAAAATATCTGAAGTCACAGCACCATGTAACTTCATACTTTGAACAGAAATTTAGTCAGAAATCATGGAGTCTAGGATTTAAAGTAACTTTATGAAACTAGAAGTCTTCTTTGATTTGTTGTAGACCCTATATAAGATTTGAGGGCAAGTCATGGGGCATTGCATCCTTTCCATTATTTGCTTGACCAAAGACTTCTTTTTCACAATGTGGAAAGATGCTAACTCTACCACACATTCTAAGTTCCACTGTGTTTGAGGAGTTAGATTTCTAGGCAGGAGTTTGAGGGAAGGAC